TCACTTTGGTGTATAAGTCTCAGGACTTGCAAATTTATGCAAAAAGATGTGACATACAGCGAAAAATATGGTAATCATTTTAATATTATTTACAAAACAAATAAATAAATAAACTTACCGTTACACAGAATGGCTCGGCTGAGTCCGAGAGCATCAGCTGTGCCTGAGCTCATGTTCTCCACTAACCGATGTTTCACTTTCTTTAACACTGAAACACACAAACTATGAGTTAACACATAAAGTTTCACAGAATATATAATCTATTAGTGCTAGAATACAAAACTACATTAAAATTCATGTTTCAGAAACAAATTTAAAAATACTAACAAAAAGCTCAAAGTAATTAAATGTGCATCAATAGGAGAAAATACCAATATCTAGAGATTTCCCTTGCTTTGGGTCAGCCTGCAGTTTGTTGTAGTGGATTACTGCCTCCTCCTGTGAACACACCAACAAAATACAGATAAATAAAAAGGAAAAAATATTTTATTTTATTTCATTGCATAAAAATCCAATGGGTAATAATTAATGTGCAAACTGTTCTACCACTGTGGTGCAATAGGTGACATTCTGGTGCAGCACTGGTCCTGAAAAAGCAGCACCAACACAATTTAATCCTTCAGTTCCCACACTGAGCCCATTCTTTATCTCACCACACAGGAAGTCATGACATTTTTTGTGTGCGTGAACAAAGGATGTCAAAAACAACACGGCAGCTCTGCACTGGTGGTTTTACAGCACATACTTTGGGCTTTTGTCCCGACCTCTTTCAAACCAGCTTAGAAAGTTAGTAAAGTCCATTTTCTCCTGCCTGATGCCGGACTCACAACCAGAGTAAGTTCGGAATATTCATCGATAAAACTGCAGCTACAGCAAGATATAAAAAAGTGAGTTATTATCGATTCTTGTTTTTTTGCTCTGTTTGTATCAATAAATGATCAGTTTGAAATATATCATATTTAGGATAAGAATACACTGCAAGTGAGATTTAATCATTAAAGTGGTTAAAAATTCAAATTGTCAAACATAAAATGATGAAATGAGGGTTGGTCTGAGAAATGTAGAAAATTAAAAAGAAAATAGACGATTTACTA